GAGCCGCCCGCGCCGCGCGAGGACGAGCCCCGCCTGCGCGCCGTCTTCGACGCCCTCGACCGCGACGGCGACGGCTTCGTGCGCGTCGAGGAGTTCGTGCACTTCGCCACGGCCTACGGCGCCGAGCAGGTGAGCGCGGCCCGCGGGGCGGCGGGCACCGGCCCCGACCCGCTGCCCGGGGCGGCCCCGGCAGCCCCCGCCTTTGTTCTACCCGTTGGGTGACCCCGCGTCCCCGCGCTCGTCCCCGCGCTGCTCCTGCCGCCGCTCGCGTTCCCCGGCGCGCTCAGGTGCGCTGCAATCCGGAGGCACCTGCTCCTCACCCGGTGTCGCTGCATCGTTAGGGCGGCTGCATCGTTACCGCCGCTGCCCCCAGCGCCGGGTGCGGGGCCGCATCCCGCAGGAGGCTGCGCGTGTGCGGGGCCGCATCCCGCAGGAGGCTGCGCCGGGGCCGCTCGGAGCGGTGCCCGCGCGCCCTGCGGTGCATGACAAAGCAGATCGCCGGGTGCGAGCGTGGCGGACGGAGCCTTGGAGCTGTGCCGAGCGCCGGGAGCACCTGCCAGGGAGGCCGGTGCCGGGAGCACCCGCGCAGGCTCCTTTGTCTGCACCGCGTCCCCCGCGGGCTCCAGCGCCGCTCGCCGCCTCCGTGCGGCCCCGCGGGGCGGCCGTGGGCTCGTCCTGCCGCCGCCTGCCTCGTGCCGGGCGCTCACCCGTCGGGCGTCGAGGCCCGTGCCGAGCAAGGCCGCCCGTGCCGAGCGAGGCCGCTCGTGCGGGGCTCCCCGCGCCATGCGGGGCGGCCCCGCGTGCCCGGCGCTGCGTGCGGCCCTCGCTGCTGCGCGTGGGCATCGGCAATGCACAGGTCTGCAGTTCACCTGCCTATAAACCGTATGCGTATGTATATGTATATGCGCACACTATTATATGTGCTTTGAAAATATCTGTGTTTATGTAGCTAGTTCTGTGTGGAATGGCTCTCAGTACTTTTAGTGCTGGTACAGCCTGGTGAGACTGAGGTGGCTGCAGCTGAGGCGCTTGGTAATGGGCACTCCAGGGAATGAAGCTGGTGCTTTTTGCAAAGCCGTGGCAGAAAAAAAGAGGGATTTGGTGGTGCCTACCCTTGCTAGGCGGCTTCACATTAGAGAACAGAGACAGAGAGCTGGCTGGGAAGGCAGGAGAGCATCGGTGGTGGTCTCTAAGTTCCCACAGATGTGCTCAGTGGTTAAGGAAGGAGTTAGGGGGAATTTCTTGACCTCTTTGTCTTTAAGCAGACCTAACTTGGACCAAAAATGGGCCCTCTTGCAAATGAAAATTCAGATGAAAGTTAAAGGACAGGCATATCACAGGGTGGGTCCGATGACCTTAAAGGTGGCTAAGAGGGAGCTTCAACATGTCAGTGAAGATTGCACTGCAGGCTGGAGCTGGGAAGCTCACGGATGCCTCCCAGGGCTGGATGAATGTCAGGATGGAGTTAACGAGGAGCCGGTGCGGAGCGGCGGCCTCGTCCCTGCTGGCAGCAGCAGGAGCTCCTGGCCTCCCCCAGCCTCTGCAGGAAGGTCCCGCGGAGGTGCTGGAACCAGCAGCCCTTTCAGGCGCGGCAGGTCCCGGGAGCTGCCGATGCACCCGGCGCTCGCAGGGCTGGGGATTAAGGGAAGCCTGTGTGTGAAACAGGGCGTCCCGGGAGCTGCCAGCGGGGCGCTCGGCGGCGGTGGAAGCGGCGGCTCCGGGCTGCTCAGTGCCCGGGCATCGTCCGGCCCCAACCCCTGTTAGCTCATGTCAGAGGAAAGAGACCAGCTGGCATTAAAGATTAAATAGGCTTGAATTCCTATCCGGGTTTCTTCTCTGCGTGATCGAAACCATCCACAGCAAACCTGGGGGTTTCTCTTTGTTGCTGTTTGTTTGGGGGGTTGTTGCTTTCAAAGCAGCTTCGGTTGTTTAAACGCTGCCTTAAACTCTGTGGCCGGGCAAAGGGAGGTGAAGTGTTAGTGTGAGCAGCAGCCAGGGGTGCGGGGAAGCTCTTTGCTCCTCCCTGAAGTGAGGGAAGTTGCGGCATCAGAGCTGTCACCAGCACCTCGGTCCTAACGTGGCAGGGGACAGAGCTCCAGTGCTTGGTCTCTTGGGCTTGTCCCCAAGAAACTCAGCCCTGGGCAGGGCTCCAGACCCTCTTGTGAAGGGGGCAGAAAAGCATCGGGGTGTCAATTTAGAGAGCAAGTGAAGCACAGAGCTGCCTTGATGCAATTTCCATGCCACCTCGCAGAGCAGAGCGTTGCACCTGCACCCGTACCAGTCTAAGGTCGTTTCCCAAGACTTGAAAGCAGCAAATCCCTCCTTGCCCGGCCCGCTTTGCAGCAGCGGGATGTGCGTCTGGCTGCAGGAGGCAGCGCCTCTTCCCGCCAGCTTTGTTAGGAGCTGGAAATAGGGGATGGTGCCGGGGAGGAGGAGGAGGAGGAGGAACAAGTGCTGCGATGCGCGGGGAGCAGCTCTCCTGCTGGCGCCGTCTTTTTTTATCTGCACGATAATTGGAGGTGGAAAAGCCTTTGGCACCACATGATCCCAGCACCTCAGTTCAATGAAAATAAGGCAGTTTGCTCGGCATATATTTGAAAATAGGTTAGACAATATGGCATTTGGGCTTTGTCTTTGGCCTTTTTTTTTTCCTCCTTTGTGATCATCTCAAGCTTTGTTTCCGTGTGCTTTGTCTCCTTTTCTTTAATATTTGCATTCCGCCCTTGACTCCCAACCTTCTCCTGCTCCAAATCGGCCTGTCCTTAACTGAACTCTCCATATTTAGCTTTAAAGGTTTCTTTGTGCAATGATTTTTTTTTTTCCGTTTTATATTTTTTTTTATCCCATTCATTGTGCTTTTCTGACCTCCCATCACCTTATCAGCTTTTTGGAAAGAGATGCCCAACCTGACCTGGATGCTGCTGAAGGAATTGGGTCTCGGGTCGCAGGTTCTCTACCTTGAATACTGCAGACAGCAGACACAGAAATGTGGATTTTATTCTATTTTTTTAATAATAATAAAAAAATCTCCAAGACTTAGCAATTACTTTCTGGAATGAAATCTGGATACTGGCAAACTACAGGTTTTCAGTGTGCTTTTCTTAATAGTTTCAAGATATGTGTCTCTCTGAGCTCAGGTAAAACAAACCAAAAACCCTTTGTAAAATACCAAACCTTAAGAAAACCTCATTATTTATTTTTTCTAAGCTGCAAAGGATCTGTTCAGAGCCCACGGTGAGACCTCTTCCAGCCCAGGCTTAGAGCTGCTGACCGTGCATCCGATCTTCAACATCCCTCCTCTTCCCCTCCTCCTCCCCCATCCCCAGGAATTGAATATTTTGGAACTGTGTTATGGGGAAACCTGAATTTTTCTCCTTCAGTCAGAGGAGTGTTGTGGGTTTTCTGTTTCTCTCCCCTCTGAGGAGAGGAAATACTGGCTTTGCCTATAGAGAGATTTCTCAGAGTATTCTAACGAGGATCCTTAGACCATGTAAATGTGAGCGAGGCTCTAAATTGCTTCCAACAACCATGTAAATGTGAGCAGGGCTCTAAATTGCTTCCACAATCGCTTCCAACTGCCTCGCTGCTGCTCTGCCTCTCCGAGGCTTTCATTGCAGTTCAGTTTTGGTGTCTGCTGGCAGCCCTGGCACCGCAGCGCGAGCGGCGCCCTGGCTTTGCAAGGCGAGCGCCTCTGCGCACGCAGCCTGTCCTGCCCGCACG